GGGGGGGGGGGGGGTGGGATGGAGAACTTTATGTAAACAGAGGCAAATGCGCCTTTTTCTGTATTCCTGCAGAATTCTCAGATTTTCTCTTGGGAGCTTTTTGTTCCTCTTGAGGCAGATGTTGGATTATTATTTTTTTGCGTGGCAGTCGAGCAGGTGGTTTGTGGTCGCCTCCTCTGGATTTGGAACTCCTAGCCTGCTCAGACGTTGTCAAGCGTCTCTCCCTTCTCTTCCTCAGGATCCCGCGACTCCCCGCGTCAGTCCCGCTCATTCGCCTCCAGAAAATGGGATCGACAAAGCCCGGGGGCTGAAGAAGGACGCCCCCAACAGCCCCGCCTCCGTCGCCTCCTCCAGCAGCACGCCTTCCTCCAAGACGAAAGACCTCGGCCATGTAAGTGCCGGTGCCACCACAGGTTGGCCACAATGCTCCTTTTTGGATGCATGGAAGGTGGGGATCGTGAGTGGCATGAGCCCGGCATGTGGACAGATGTGGGCGTTAGGGCTGCAAAAGCTGGGCTGTGATCCATTGGGCCCCGCTGCACAAGAGGGACCTGGTGATGGCAGAGGAGATTCATGTTTTCATCTGTTCCACCTCCAGAAAGTTATACCAACACGCCCTGTTGCCCAGCATCCCTGCCCGTGTGGAGATCCAGTGCCAGAAGATCTGTGCCACCACTACCTGTTGTTCTGTCCACTCTACCAAGCCCCTAGGAAGAAATTTCTAGACCCAATCTTGGCCTCCTTAGGCACTGGAACAGAAACTGAAAAAATTCTAGTGCTACTAGCAGATGTAGAGGCCGAGATTTCCTACAAGGTGGCCCCTCTTTGCAGAGAAAATGCGGAAGAAAATAGTAGCAGTACCAGGGGTCATTTCCTAGAAAAAGAGGTGCAGGAGCTCATTAGCATATCTTATTAGCATAACATATTTGCATATGCCACACCCCCTGACATCACCAGAAGTGTGCCAGAAGGCAACACCCACCGCTCAGGCTCCACTGGACTGTTTTGGATTGCTAGCTATTGGGGGGGGGGGGGGAGAACGTGCAGATCTGTCCTCACAGAGGAGGGAGAGCTTGAACCTGAATAAACCTTGGTCTTAAAGGTGCCACTGGACTGTTTTGGACCGGGGGGCCGGGGGAGCTCTGCAGCTTACCTGGCTGCTTCTTGCTCTGACTGAGGGCTGCTGGGAGCAGGGGGCGGGCCTTGTTGCATGTGCTCGCCCCCTGGGCTCTTTACTGCCAGAGCTCTGCTCCTGTGCGCTCCTGCAGGAAGTGACCCCTGAGCAGTACCATAGCTTGATTACCAACGGATGTCTGGATGGGAGAGAGAGAATTATTATAATGCTGTATTGTGTCCTAACTTAGTTTTTAATTCTTCTGGTTTTAGAAGTTTATATCGATGTTATTGTTATATTGTTCTGTCATTGTAACGGCCTGTTGCTAAAGGCAGTAAACTGAAACCTGAACCCGAGGCCCGCTTTTGCCCAGCTCCTCTGGCCCTTCCTTCCCCAGCTGTTTGTTGGAGGGGGGGGGGATTCTTCCTCCAGGAAATTATCAGTGGACATGTGCAATGCTCCCTCTAAGCTGTGGAGTCTTGTGAGCAACAGTTCTGTTTTGTGAGCTTCTGGCCTTACAGCTGTGAGCAAGCAGTTTGGCTGCTGCATGAATTAGTTTGCTCTGGAGCCCCATCCTCCCTGAGCCGAGATAAAAATGTGTGAGCTGGAGGCTAAAAAACTGTGAGCTAGCTCACGCTAACTCTGCTTAGAGGGAACACTGGCCGCATGTGTTAGACATAGAATCCATGTCAAAAGATTCCCAGGGATACACCTGGGTGATTGGAAATAGCTGTGATCTAACTGGTTTGATAACTACATGTGGAACCACTCGCTCATCCTGGGAACCAAATTCCAAAATGAATTTTGCATAATTTTTGCAAAAAATTTGCAATTTTGCAAAAAATTGCAATGCTGCATACTTTTATTGCTTTCTCTGTCGGTTGTCCCCATTTGGCCCCCGTGGATCGGGTCCCACTTAAAGCGAGAATTGTCCCTACAGTGTGCTTTTCCAACCCGTCTCTTCCTCCGTCTTGGAAATAGCCCCCAAAGGGCAAAAAGGAACGCATTTCCTCAAGTACCCTTTTTAAGCATTGAGGTGTTTCTGGTCTGATGGTGGTGTGGCCATGTGAGATAGATTTTCTTTTTTTAACTTTGTTGAGGAGGATTCTTGACAGAGTCAATATTCCATATGACTGACTCGGTTCATGAATTGTGCACTGGATTCGTTTTGTAAAGGAAGTGAATCTTGGAATTTGGTTCCCAGGATGAGGGAGCCCCAGCTCTTCTGTTCTTAATAAAAGATGACCCCAGCTTGAGAATGCTTGCGTGCTGACGCCAAATTCCCTTTCCCCCAGAACGATAAATCCTCCACCCCTGGGCTGAAATCAGCCACTCCCACGCCGAGGAACGATGCCCCAACGCCAGGGACGAGTAGCACTCCGGGGCTGCGGCCGATGCCGGGCAAGCCGTCTGGAATGGATCCTTTGGGTACGTAGATCCTGTCTCAGGGGGGGGGGGGGGGGTGGGGGCCCCCCGCGC